TGTTCAATAAAGTACATGACTTTTTTATAAATTATTTTTTTTTTATTTTTTTTTTGTATATAATTTTATTATTATTATTTTTTATATATAATTTTCTTTTATTTTTTTTATATTTTTTTTAATTTATTTTATATATATATATATATATATATTATTTATTGATTTATTTTTTAATATATTTAATTTGTTTGTGTGTGACCTCCCAAAAACTCCCAGGGGCAATTGAGTTCTGACTTCTCTTATCAATGTCCTCCACAAGCATGACCTTTAAAGGAAAAATCCTCCCACCCTAGAAAGATGCTTGGATTTCTTTTTGAAATTCACCTATTTATGTACTTATGATGTTTTAATGCACAAAGTGTGTTTATTTTTCATTTCTTGTTTTCGTTTACTTTATGTGTTATTTTGTAAAACACTGAGCAAACTGGCACTATATAAATCCTGTATAATAATAATATTCACAAAATAGTTGGACAAAGCGAGACGTATCGGTCAAAGTGTCAGATAATGTAGTTGCTGCAGCTTGCGTCTTCTCCACAAGGTGGTGATCCCACTTATTGCCCATGGAACACAGAGAGAGGAAGTGACACCAAACAAAGACAGGAAGTTCCAGGAGAGAGCAAAGCCTGAGGACTAGAGGGAGAGATTTCTGCAACCAGCAGCAGAGGAGGTAATAATAATTCTTTATATCCAGTAACCCCCCCGTCATGTTTATCCTCTTCCTCCATTGTCATTGTGATGTCGTTTATGCTTTATGCTTTATAGACCGTATACATCCTAAATATAGAACCATTTATCCAACCGTCCAGGGAGCCTCTGGTTTATAGACCGGATACGTCCTAAATATAGAGCCATTTATCCAACCTTCCATCCAGAGCCTCTGGTTTATAGACCGGATACGTCCTAAATATAGAACCATTTATCCAACCGTCAATCCAGATCCTCTGGTTTATAGACCGGATACATCCTAAATATAGAACCATTTATCCAACCGTCCATCCAGAGCCTCTGGTTTATAGACCAGATACATCCTAAATATAGAACCATTTTATCCAACCGTCCATCCAGAGCCTCTGGTTTATAGACCGGATACGTCCTAAATATAGAATCATTTATCCAACCTTCCATCCAGAGCCTCTGGTTTATAGACCGGATACGTCCTAAATATAGAATCATTTATCCAACCGTCAATCCAGATCCTCTGGTTTATAGACCGGATACATCCTAAATATAGAGCCATTTATCCAACCTTCCATCCAGAGCCTCTGGTTTATAGACCGGATACGTCCTAAATATAGAACCATTTATCCAACCGTCAATCCAGATCCTCTGGTTTATAGACCGGATACATCCTAAATATAGAACCATTTATCCAACCGTCCATCCAGAGCCTCTGGTTTATAGACCGGATACATCCTAAATATAGAACCATTTATCCAACCGTCCATCCAGAGCCTCTGGTTTATAGACCGGATACATCCTAAATATAGAACCATTTATCCAACCGTCCATCCAGAGCCTCTGGTTTATAGACCGGATACGTCCTAAATATAGAATCATTTATCCAACCGTCAATCCAGATCCTCTGGTTTATAGACGGATACATCCTAAATATAGAGCCATTTATCCAACCTTCCATCCAGAGCCTCTGGTTTATAGACCGGATACGTCCTAAATATAGAACCATTTATCCAACCGTCAATCCAGATCCTCTGGTTTATAGACCGGATACATCCTAAATATAGAACCATTTATCCAACCGTCCATCCAGGGCCTCTGGTTTATAGACCAGATACATCCTAAATATAGAACCATTTATCCAACCGTCCATCCAGAGCCTCTGGTTTATAGACCGGATACATCCTAAATATAGAACCATTTATCCAACCGTCCATCCAGAGCCTCTGGTTTATAGACCGGATACATCCTAAATATAGAGCCATTTATCCAACTGTCCATCCATTGGGCCTCCCTAGCAGGTCTCTGTTCATCAATGTTCTGCTAAATGATGTTATTGTAACAGTAATGGCAATGCCTATGATTTGATAAAGCTCTTTTGAGTTTTCAGTCCTTCTGTTTTTGTCTGTTGTAATGGAATTCAAGATGTCTGTAGTCTGGGAGTGTGTTCTGGTGGGGTGTATGGACTGTGCCAATCCTCTGATGATTCTGAAGAACAAAAAAAGGGGCTCACAATATAGACTTTCCCGGCCACTGTGTAATGTCATGTTTACATTTCCTCCATCATTTCCTTCATAATACATGGTCACTGCTACTTGGTAAACAAAGTTGACTCCACCAATATTTACTAGGCAATACTTCTCTTGAAAGCCCATTCTGAAACTTGATTTCCACTCCCACCTTGATCTTTTTTTTTTTTCTTGGAATGGAAGTCAAAGGAAATCTCCCTGACCAGGACACAATGCCTTTAAATTAAGTTCTAACTCTTCTCCAGTCAACCCAAACTCTTGTTTTGGCAAGAGTGTCTACAGTGTCAGAACTATGGAGGAACACTGAGCAGACATCTACTGTCTCACTATTGTCCAGATAATTCTCAGTTTATTATCCGTCTACAGAGAGGAGGGTCCTGTATAGATCAGGAGGAGGTGAGGAGGCTTGTGGAAGATCAGGGGTTACAATTACTTGCTTTGTATACACAGGATTATATTCTCCATGGAGGAGTGGGAGTATTTAGAAGGACACAAGGACCTCTACAAGGACGTCATGATGGACAATCAGCCGCCCCTCACATCACCGGGTAAGAGGAGACTTTATTGTAAAGGAGAGAACAGTACGGAGGGTCCACCTAGATCCCCCATCATCTGATAAACACATAGAAACAATGGATTCAGTCAGTGTGTGTGTTTCCTACAGATGGATCCAGTAATGGGAACCAACCAGAGAGATGTCCCCGTCCTCTGTATTCCCGGGATTCCACACAGGAAGGTCACACCATCCCTCACCATCATCAAGTAGATGGATCCAGTAATGGGAACCCACCAGAGAGATATCCCATCCATCCTCTGTATTCCGGGGCTTCCACACAGGAAGATCACACCATCCCCCACCATCATCAGGTAGGTGGGACTGAGCATGTAGATTTAACAGCATATATTAATTTATGAGATTACAATCTTCTATGTAACATCTTGTTCCTTTTTCACAAATGTAATCTATCATTGTTGGGGTTCAGGATAAAGAACCAAAAGTTGAGATTAAAGAAGAAGAAGAAGAGAGGTTGGTGAGTGGAGATCAGAAGTCTATGGAGGAGGGGGAGATGAATATGAAAAGTGAACAGGAGGAACCCTATCTATTTATCAATACAGGTAAGTGACAAACATTAAATGTAGAAACTGTTTACATTTTCACTTTACTTCCATGAGTATAAAGCATAAATTTACCTAAAATGCAAAATAAAGGCCGTCACACCCAGTTGATGGTTAGAACATCATTGATGTACCTTCTGCACTGCCCAGGGTATTTTAGGTATTGTACATTATATGAAAAAATCATCTATAGTCCTCTTCAAAAGGAGGCTACTATAGTGGCTTTTATATGGTGTCCAGTATCTCCTCCTCATTTGTTGGGAACATGACCTTATATTGAGGAATGGCGATGGACCTTTCATATGGTGTCCAGTATCTTCTCCTCATTTGTTGGGGACATGACGTTATATTGAGGAATAGAGATGGACCTTTCATATGGTGTCCAGTATCTCAATCTCCATTCCTCAATATAACGTCATGTTCCCAACAAATGAGGAGGAGATACTGGACACCATATGGAAGGTCCATCTCCATTCCTCAATATAACGTCATGTTCCCAACAAATGAGGAGGAGATACTGGACACCATATGAAAGGTCCATCTCCATTCCTCTATATAACGTCACGTTCCCGACAAATGAGGAGGAGATACTGGACACCATATGAAAGGTCCATCTCCATTCCTCAATATAACGTCACGTTCCCAACAAATGAGGAGGAGATACTGTACACCATATGAAAGGTCCATCTCCATTCCTCAATATAACGTCATGTTGCCAACAAATGATTAGTAGTCAAAACAATCGTTGAGCTGAGCATTCGGGGGTTAATAGCAGTCTAGTCCTCAGCATAGTTGTTCCTTTAAATGATTAGCCATGATCCTTCATGATCTTGCCTGGCAAAGGCTACAGTGGTGGGAACAGGGGCACCTCACTTGGGCAAGGGCTTCTTATCTTGGGTGGCTAGGTATCAGGAACCCAGCTGATTCCAGCACAGTGGGGTCTCCTGTAATCTGCCAACATGGCAGATGAAAAGGAGCCAGTGAGGACAAGGACTGTGGAATCCTGAGTGTTCATCTGTTTGCTTGATCCTCATGGGCGGAGCTTTAATCTGCTGGATTTGTTCCAGAACTCAAAGCCAAGGACACGCAAGAAACCAAGGAGATTGGAGAACGGGGAAATTTGCTTGGTCTACATGGAACACTTTCTGGTAGACCAACATATATGACTCCTGAATGTAAGGTCTGAAAAACGCCTATAACGTTTTTTTTTTTTTTCATTGCTTTCCAACAGATGGACAGTGTGTGCGGAACACCTCCGAGGAACCTCCTGTTTTATCTCCAGATTATCACACGGAATATAATGACATTGCACAATATTCTTCGGGAGTAAATCCCATCACTCAAAATATGTATCACAGACCTTACCAATTGGAAGGATCAATAGATCCCTCTAATCCCCTGGAAAAAATTCCAATATGGATCCCTCCAATCCCGTGGAAAATTCCGATATGGATCCCTCCAATCCCATGGAAAATTCCAATCTGAATCCCTCCAATCTTGAGGCAAGTTCTGAGAAATCAGATACCAAGACTTTAATATCCCACCACACAGACTTAATAAATCAATATTTTTTCAAGGAATCCTCTTTCATCCACGAAGGAGTTCGCACAGGAGAGGGTTCACTGTCATGCACAGTGTGCGGGAAATGTTTCACGGAAAACCGAGCGCTTCTTAGGCATGAGAAACGTCACACCGACGAGCGTCCCTATTCCTGTTCAGAGTGTGGGAAATGTTTCATTCAGAAAGCAGACCTGCTCAAACACGAGAGAATTCACACAGGTGAACGCCCCTTTCCATGTTCCAAGTGCGGGAAATTTTTCAGTGACAAAGGTAACCTTCTTAAACACCAGAGAATTCACACCGATGAGCGTCCATATCCATGTTCGGAGTGCGGGAAGTGTTTCCTTAATAAAAGTAACCTGGTTAAACATCAGAGGATTCACACAGGGGAGTGTCCTTATTCGTGCCCAGAGTGCGGGAAATGTTTCAACGACCAAGGAAACCTTATTAGGCACCAGAAAAGTCACACGGGCGAACGACCCTTTTCATGTTCAGACTGCGGGAAATGTTTCACTCAGAAAAACATACTTCTTACACACCAGAAATGTCACACTGATGGCTGTCCCTATGTATGTTCAGAGTGCGGGAAATATTTCATTCAGAAACGAGACTTTCTTATACACCAGAGAAGTCACACGGGCGAGCGTCTCTTTCCGTGTTCAGAGTGCGGGAAGTGTTTCATTCACAAATGCAACCTTGTTAAACACCAGAGAATTCACACAGGGGAGCGTCCCTATTCGTGTTCAGAGTGCGGGAAAGGTTTCTATGACAAGGGAAACCTTATTCAGCATCAGAGAATCCACACAGGTGAACGCCCCTTTTCCTGTTCAGAGTGCGGGAAACGTTTCATTCAGAAAGGAGACCTTAAGAAACATCTGAGGGTTCACAAGAACGAGCATCCTTTTTCCTGTTCAGATTGGGAGAAATGTTTCAGTTAGAGAAAAAACGTTTGGCGCATGCCAGAGAATTCACTAAGGAACGAAGAGACGTCCCAAACGCCGCGCATCGCAGAAAACCCTCGTATATAGACTCTGTCCAGGCCACGCCCCCTAACGCGTTTCGCCTCTTCACTGGGCTTAATCATCGCTAATTGAGCAGAGCGAAACGCATCAGTGGTGTGGCCTGGGCGAGTCTAGGCTGAGGCTGCTTCTACTTGTCTACGGCAGAGAGAATTCACACAACCGAACAACCTTTTCTGAAGAAGGCGGCTTTTCATTGGTCCAGCCAGTGATGAATGCAGTTTGTTTTCTTCGGCTCCACAAGATCTGATTTTAATTCTGACGTGATTCTCACGTGTTCTGATTTTCAAAAATAAACAGGAAGGCTCCACAATTTACATTTCTGTGTTCTGGTTTTTTATTTCTCTTGATTCACTAAAATTCTGGTGATTGTTGTTTAAAATGTTTTATTATTGTCGGAACTGCCCTTTATTAGGGGTTCCCACCATCCCTGTGCGGAGTTCCTGGGTCTGTACACCCGCTGTGCCCATTATGAGGGGTTCCCACCATCCCTGGGCCGAGTTCCTGGGTCTGTACGCCCGCTGTGCCCATTATGAGGGGTTCCCACCATCCCTGTGCCGAGTTCCCGAGTATGTACACCCGCTGTGCCCATTATGAGGGGTTCCCACCATCCCTGTGCTGAGTTCCCGGGTCTGTACACCCAAGAGAAGGTGGCTGCCAGAACATTTGGTGCTGAGAGAAGGGGGTATAATTCTTGAAGGAAGGGAGGGCTTCAGGTACACTGGGTGCAGATAGAAGGTTAGACTGAAGTGTTTTGGGTGTTGAGAAAAGTGGAATGTAAAGCTAATGAGGTTTGGAGATCCCCAAACTGAAGGGGAAAGTCAGGTTACATATATCTGTCTAAGAGGATTCTCAAGGATTCCTAAGTCTGTGATTGATCATTTAGACTTAAGTTTGTTGCTTGTGCAGTGACATTTTTTTTTTTAACAGATACTATTTTTTTTTTTACTCCCTCCAATACCAAAAGACAGATGCAGTACCTTAGAAATGGAATACATTCCAACAAGCAAAGAAATACACAGAGACCTTCCCTTAAGATTCAAAGTACCTCCAATAATCCTCATATTGTTACTTTACAGACGTTTATCGGTGATCTATGCAGTCATCATCAGCACAGATAATCACACTGAAGCCGAAATGAGGAGGTACTGGACACCATATGGAAGGTCCATCTCCATTCCTCAATATAACATCATGTTCCCAACAAATGAGGAGGAGATACTGGACACCATATGAAAGGTCCATCTCCATTCCTCAATATAACATCATGTTCCCAACAAATGAGGAGGAGATACTGGACACCATATGAAAGGTCCATCTCCATTCCTCAATATAACTTCATGTCCCCAACAAATGAGGAGGAGGAGATACTGGACACCATATGGAAGGTCCATCTCCATTCCTCAATATAACGTCATGTTCCCAACAAATGAGGAGGAGATACTGGACACCATATGGAAGGTCCATCTCCATTCCTCAATATAACGTCATGTTCCCAACAAATGAGGAGGAGATACTGGACACCATATGAAAGGTCCATCTCCATTCCTCAATATAACGTCATGTTCCCAACAAATTAGGAGGAGATACTGGACACCATATGAAAGGTCCATCTCCATTCCTCAATATAACGTCATGTTCCCAACAAATGAGGAGGAGATACTGGACACCGTATGGAAGGTCCATCTCCATTCCTCAATATAACGTCATGTTCCCAACAAATTAGGAGGAGATACTGGACACCATATGAAAGGTCCATCTCCATTCCTCAATATAACGTCATGTTCCCAACAAATGAGGAGGAGATATTGGACACCATATGAAAGGTCCATCTCTATTCCTCAATATAACGTCATGTTCCCAACAAATGAGGAGGAGATACTGTACACCATATGAAAGGTCCATCTCCATTCCTCAATATAACATCATGTCCCCAACAAATGAGGAGATACTGGACACCATATGAAAGGTCCATCTCCATTCCTCAATATAACGTCATGTTCCCAACAAATGAGGAGATACTGGACACCATATGAAAGGTCCATCTCCATTCCTCAATATAATGTCATGTTCCCAACAAATGAGGAGATACTGGACACCATATGGAAGGTCCATCTCCATTCCTCAATATAACGTCATGTTCCCAACAAATGAGGAGGAGATACTGGACACCATATGAAAGGTCCATCTCCATTCCTCAATATAACGTCATGTTCCCAACAAATGAGGAGATACTGGACACCATATGAAAGGTCCATCTCCATTCCTCAATATAACGTCGTGTTCCCAACAAATGAGGTAACTAAACCCACTAGTCAGACATCTCCAAAGGCAACAACCTATTGATAGCATCGCAAACTTCCATTACCAAAGGGTTTACGGTGTTTTGGAAATAATTTATCAATCTAGAACAGGCAGCCGGAGGAGGGGGTGGAGCCTGAACATGGCGGCACAGGAGAGAGTGTAGCTTAGCACTCTCCGTGAGCCTTCCCCCCCGCTTACCTCCCTATGAAGCCTCGTTAGAGGGACCAGCTGCACTGAAGGCAGTGACTCACCTGCAGGAGAGAGTCGGAGAGAGCCGGCGGAGTCCCGGTGACGGTCGGAGCCGGCGGAGTGTCGGGAGGGTCTGTGTGAGAGACACCTCGGGGTCTTCCCTTTTGCTCTTCTGCAGCGGCGGCTGAGGAGGAGTGGGGTTGCCTAGGAGACGACGACCGGTCGACCTGGAACTGGGGGAGAGCCGGGAGAGAGACGCCTCATGGCCTCAGCTGGTGTCTGGCGTCTTGCGGCGGCGGCTTCGGAGGAGGAACAGGGTTGCCAGGGAGACGTCAGTGAGTCAGCTGGGACATTGGAGAGTCGCTGACACTGACTCCGACACGTGAGGAGCTCTGGGAGCCCCGAGAAAGAAAGGGAATGTCCGGCATTTCAGCAAGTGGGTGAACCAGCTGAGGGTAACGGACATACTGTCTAGAGATGAGCGAATCGAACCAGGTGAACCGGAATTCAATACGAGTTTCAGGAAAAATTCGATTCGCGTCGAATCCGAATATTTGCCTACTTCGGGTGCGCGAATCGGATTTTTCCCGATCAGCCGGCAAAAGTGTCCCTGCAGAGAGCTCCGCTATTTCTGACAGTTCTCTGACAGAAGGAACACATGTACAGCGGTTGAAACATTGTATCTATTAGTTTCCATTTAGGATACAGATGTTTCAACCGCTGTACATGTGAAGAAGCTGTCAGAGAACTGTCAGAAATAGAGGAACTCTGCACATACACTTTTTGCCGGTTTGGAATTCTTATTTTCATCCTACTTCTTCTTCTTTTTCTACTTCTTCATCCTCATCCTCAGAAGAAGAAGAAGAGGATGAGGATGAAGAAGAAGAAGAAGAAGAAGAAGTAGGATGAAAATAAGAATAATTCCAAGCCGGCAAAAAGTGTATGTGCAGAGTTCCTCTATTCTGCAGATACACTTAGAGGAGCTCTGCAGATACACTTAGAGGAGCTCTGCACATACACTTTTTGCCGGCTTGGAATTAATCTTATTTTCATCCTACTTCTTCTTCTTCATCCTCATCCTCAGAAGAAGAAGAAGAGGATGAGGATGAAGAAGATGAAGAAGAAGTAGGATGAAAATAAGAATAATTCCAAGCCGGCAAAAAGTGTATCTGCAGAGCTCCTCTAAGTGTATCTGCAGAATGTCATTTATGGAAACAAATAGATACAATGTTTCAACCGCTGTATGGAGGGTGTCCCAGAACTGTCAGAAATAGACTATTTCTGTGGACAATCCCTCCATACAGCGGTTGAAACATTGTATCTATTTGTTTCCATAAATGGATCCATTTATGGAACAAAATAGATACAATGTTTCAACCGCTGTATGGAGTGAATGTCCCAGAACTGTCAGAAATAGACAGAAACTGTTCAGAATGTCCTTCTCATCCTTCTCCTTCTTCTCATCCTTCTTCTCATCCTTCTTCTCATCCTTCTTCTCATCCTTCTCCTTCTTCTCATCCTTCTCCTTCTTCTCATCCTTCTCCTTCTCCTTCTTCTCATCCTTCTCCTTCTTCTCATCCTTCTTCTCATCCTTCTCCTTCTTCTCATCCTTCTTCTCATCCTTCTCCTTCTCCTCCTTCTCCTTCTCCTTCTTCTCATCCTTCTTCTCATCCTTCTTCTCATCCTTCTCCTTCTTCTCATCCTTCTCCTTCTCTCCTTCTTCTCATCCTTCTCCTTCTTCTCATCCTTCTCCTTCTTCTCCTTCTCCTTCTCCTCCTTCTCCTTCTCCTTCTTCTCATCCTTCTCCTTCTTCTCATCCTTCTCCTTCTCCTTCTTCTCATCCTTCTCCTTCTCCTTCCTCATCTCCAAGGGCATTTAAATTAAAGGTACAGTGTTCTGCACTAATTTAAAGGCTCTCTGAAGCCTAGAAACCCTTTTTATAAGTTAACTTCGTAGCGAATTAATTCGCTCATCGAATCAAATTTCTTCCTGGAATTCGCCGAATCAGCCGAATCGAATTTTTGAAAAATTCGCTCATCTCTAATACTGTCCCTCAATAGACATAATATTCATATAAATATACCATCTCCTTGCCTCCTATACCAACCTAACTCCACCCTAATTCCATACCAATCCCATCATCTCCATATCAGCTATAATTCTACAGCTCCACAAGCATATAATATCATGCTCATTCTTATAAAACAGATAAACATTTTAACCCCCACTCTACTCCTTTCTCTATTTAACTATTAACCTGCATATTAACTCTAATCGAAGGGGGCCTGTAATGTAAAGGGAGGATAAGCTGCATGAACTACGAGAGACCCCTAGGAATCCCTTCAAGAGGAGACAAGCGGATTTAAA